TACTGTCATTACTAGATTACACATCAAAATGATTTGACCTATGTTAGCTTATGTTGTTGCAGTCTATTTTGACTCATGATGTTAATATTATATGAAAATCAGACTGTTTATAGACAAGAACTTTTATGTAATAATGACAATGTTACATAGTTTTGTGAATAACATTCACTTTTATTGTTCAAATTGCAGTTTATACATAAACAAGCAAAAATCTTCTTTGTTTAACTTTCTTTGTTTAACATGTGCTCCTTTATCTTTTGCATAATTATGTTAGAGTACAAGCAATAAATGTGAACAATACTACAAAATAGTGCTAACTATTAACAACAGAAAACAATAGAAATAGCATACTTAAGTAGTATTTAGTGGTATTTTGTACACTTCTGTTTGTACTCTGCTTTATAAAATCAGTATAGTTGTTTCCAAAGACTCATGAAATTCACTGTAACCGTCATTTTCTTCCTAATTTACGTGTACTACACTTTATTATTGGACTTTGTTTCACAGGGTTTTACATTGACTCTAATTGAAAATGGCAACAATTCATTAGAGTGCATTCATTATATCTGTGAAATATTTTGTAAGAAACTGCACAAAATTGCACTAATTCAGGATTTCACTCCAAATTGTTAAATTCAGTTTTCAAACAATTCTACGAATATAATCTATCATTACATATATAAACAGCTACCATTTCATGCCAGTTCTATGCTAGAGTAAGAATTTAAGAAGTCGACAACTAGCAACCAGAATCAGTAAGGCAGATACCAAGTTCCTCTGACCGCTCTTTGAAGGAGAAAGGCAACAACGTAAGGATTGTGAAGGCGAGGAAATTCTCTTTTTTATGTAAAAGACTTTTTTGACATTGTTCAGCTAGAGTCACTCTGTGTTTCTTTCCTGCGTTTGATCAACGAGTCTGTTGATGATGCAAGGTGTTTTATGGATCAAGAGAGATGATTTTTGTTGGGGATCAGCAAGGGAGTAAGAGTTTATTTAGGGGATCAGGGGACAGAAGGAGATTGTTAAGTCAACATCAATTATAAACAACTGGATTTTACAACATTTTACCATTTTTTTACACTTTATGGAATTTACGGCGCTAATAATGCACATTGGAGTTCCTGTGGTGAAATCGTGCTCAACTTTACGGACCTGGTGTCTAGCTGAGCATGAATGCTAGAAAGTGCGTAATATTCTAAGATGGATTTTGGTGGAGATGTGGCAGGTAGAGATGGAATTAATGACTGTACTTTATTTTGGGAGACTTCCAAAAATATTTAGGGATCAAGGGAGAAATTGTAGAATTGTCTAGGATGGAGAGGTCTCGTTGATAGTTAAACTCAATTTAAAGTTAGTTTATGAACTTGAATGTCAGCTTATCGATGAAACGAAATTCATCTAACCAATGCTTCGAGAGTTTTATAGTCGGTGAAGGAAACATATCTGAAGTGGCGGCAAGTGTGATCTGCAGTCATTCAAAAATTTCATCTAGATGTTATTGCATGCCAATTCTGAAAGGAAAAGTAACGAAAAACTTTCCTTTAGATTTAAATCAATGAATTGAATAATAATAATAAAAAGTTATTCCAATAACTCAAATTACAAACCTGTATTGATTACCTATTATAGGTGGGAGCCACTTCACKGCGCATGTCTCTGTCTTCTTTTACTAATACCAAACACACTTTGTGAATTCATAGGCCATCATTTGTCCTTCTAGTTGAGCATTTATATGTGTCGAACTGAAAAACAGACGTTTCAGATAGCTTTAGGAGTTATCTATCCAATTCATCTATCCTTTACAGATGCTGATGAGAAAACTTCAACAACAATACATTGTTTGTAGTTGGATTTAACTTCATAGTGTACTTTGCTACATCAAAATTTATCGTTTATTCCGTACGTTTTAGACTTGTATTAAGCAGGGACCGCGGAGCGGGAATTTGCTTGGGGGGGCTAGCGGCGAGAAGGTAATAAACGGGGGGTAATTTTAACTCTCGGAAATGTCATTTCCAGCGTTTTGAGACGATGTCAAGATGTTATATTTACTGCAAACACGCCCAGCGATATTATCAGTAAAATCCCAAAGACTTCGCAAAAAAGCCTCCATTTTAATCATTCACGCTCAGTCTTTACACAATTTTTATAGAATACATAGTTAAATTCCCTAAGGAGGCTTTTCGCTTCTTTATTTAAGAAAATTC